TGTCGGTGAGTTTTTTATAGCAAAAAAACTTCAGCTACAACAATCATTTGAATCTTTTTGCTATTGGACCATCACTTTGAGCAGCGTTCTCCATAAACCGCAAATTACCCCTAAAAACCACCCCTAAGTAAAAACCCTATGGAAGTACAAGGTCGCAAACTTAATATGTTATTAAGCACATGAAAATGAACCGATCCCCCCCAAAAAATGTTAACTTCTAATTATGTTGAGGTAAACCCTCTTTTCAGATCCCCGTTTCTTGGACTACACGTCGATTTTTGATTTGCGGGGGAAATATTTTTCAGTTTTTTTCATCCCATCAGTAGCTTCAACCCCCTAGCTAGGGGAAGAATAACCCCCTAAATTTGAATAGGGAATAGGGGTCGTGTCATACCTCTTTTTGAAGGTCTCATTCTTTATGACCCTAGAATTTCCTCTCATTATTTTTATCCGTTACGAAATTACAGCTTGTCAAAATCTTGGAAATAGACTATTGTTTAAGTAGGAGTAAAAGCGGTACTTATTTCCCTTAATAAAAATACTCACAATTTACAATTCATGTGTACACCTTATTGATAATAATAATAAAAAACTTCAATTTCAAGTATTTTTATTAAGGGAGGTAAGTATCACTTTTACTCCTACTAAAACAATAGTCTATTTCCAAGATTTTGACAAGCTGTCATTTCGTTACGGATGAAAATAATAGGAAGAAATTCTAGGGCCATAAAGAACTCGATGATGCCTTTGAAATGAGGTATGACACGACCCCTATCCCTCATTCAAATTTGAGAGGTTGAAAGAATGAAAAAAACTGAAAAAAGTTCCCCCTCAAATCAAAAATCGACGTGTCCGAGCGTTTTCCCAGACTTTCATTCCAAATCCAATAAATCGGGGTGGACTGTTTTCCCTGGGACACCCTGTATATAAATTTCTGCTAACGTAATGCAAACTACAATACAAAAAAATAATAGCATGCAGTTAAGACGATACAAATATATGAGTGTACTAACCAAAAACAAAGTGTTATCATTTTCATTAGCAAAATTAAATCATATTTTTAGGCTTATGGATAAATCAAAACCAACCATGCACAATTTTCGCACAAAAGCTTTACAATTTTCAACAATTGAAACTACTTTGTCAATTAATGGGCAGCAGATTAATGGATCTAGCAGTTGGACTTTTTCCAAGAAATGTAAACATGTATGTCATCAATCTCGAGGTTTCTTAAGGTCTACCCAGGAAAGGAATTCCTGGAGAAAATCTAATTGAGATGTTCAAGACTTAATCGCATAATTTTGTGTTTTTTAATAAAATGGAATAAAACTTAGGATTCTAAGTGCAGATGAAAACCATGGCCTATAAAGTTTTATGGTTTCTTTTTTCAACTTTAAAGGCAGTTATGGAAAGGAATGTTATATATAAAATAATACTTATTGCCTATGTAAAACATTAGGCGCAAAGATATAAATAAAAGTGTGATTATTCCAGAAAGTATCTAATTAAAAAATTTAGGAACAATAGTTTGAGCTCTTTGAAAAACCTTGCTTGTCTTCTTATTGTACTGAAATAAATAGAAAAAAAAAAACAAAAACCCTAGTGCATGAAAAAATAGTTAATATATTTCTTTAGGTAACAATAGTTACGTAACTCTAAAAAAGGTAAAAAAAGTATCTATAACAAAATCTAAAAATACATAAAATATAGGTATGTATGTAGTAATTGAATAATAGTATCTTCCCAAGAAGTTGCTTATTATAAAGCTTAATTATATATATATTTGAAAAAAACGAGTTAATATGAAAACATATTTCTGTCTTTACGCAACATAGTTACGTAAAGCTGAAAAAAAATGTCTAAAACTATATCTACTTAATAATATTTGCCTAAAAAGCCGCTTAATATGGAACTAAAATATAATTATATGATATGTTTCAAAAATGCGAATTAGTATAAAAATAAATACAATTTTGTATAATTAAAATAAATTATAAATAATAATGTTTGATATTAAAAATGTTTAGGCACTTAAACTTATGCGGGTTGGCAACAGAGTCGTTCAACAAACTAGTTATTTTATGTACGACCGGGCCGCAAAGCACCTGTTTGCGCCCTAATTTGCGGGCGCAATTTGATACTTTTCGGCCCGCCGGGCCGTAAATGGCCAAAAATTGCCACCATCATGTTGGTGACGTAAGTATCAAAAATTGAACAAATACTGGCACAAATTAGTTATTTTTATGTTTGTTTAGTTTGCAATTGCAGTTTCTACTGGTAATTCACGAATAATCACCAGTTTTGTTTATTATTTGACCTTGAAGCGTTCTTCATTCATCGATAATTTTTCTAAAATAATATTTGAATTGAAAGATAATTACTCGCCGTCGTACATAAAATTTTGTATGTACCACAGGCTTAAATGGTGTTTGGGGCCATTCGCGTGTTTTAATTTACACGCGGTGTGCCAGAAACACCCTTGGTACATGAATATCTATTCTAAATATTCCGTAAAAAAACCAACTAGTAAATAAGTTCCGCGGTTTCCGAAAGAGGAAATCTGAGGTTACCACTTGAGTACGTGAAACTCATTCTTCATTTTAGATGAACCTACTGAATTATCAAATTGTTATCATATAGGTGTATATTTGAAAATGTCCAATGTTATTAGAAATTTAAATAAAAAAAAAGTATTTATTTAATGCTAGTATCAAAGCGTGATTCGTTTATCACAGAGTAGTGCATGCATGCCAGCATCCACTATGATTTTATTTCAGAGAAAAAAACTGTGGAACGTTTGTAGTAGAGGTTACTTCTTCAATTACCCAACATAACCATGGAAATAAGCAAAATTTGGTAACGCCGTTATATGGAGGTCATGCCTAGGGACTCGCGATGTTGCCAGATTCTGCACAAGGGCCATTTACCAAGTGTGAAAGGTGGGTTTAAAGGGGGTGTGACCCAAAAAAACAACTTTAGTTCATTAAATTAAGCAAAAATATCTAAATACTCTCGTGAAAACCGCACTCCTCTACTCAGAATAGTATCTACCGGACGTAATCTCTCATGAAGATACCGGGCTTGAGCCTGGTGACGTCACACCAGCGAATCGCCAGTAGCGGCAAACGAACCCTATACGATGAATTGTCGCGTGCTCCGCTCTAATCATTTCATAACGTGTTTATTTGTTCAGAAAAAAGTGAACAGTAATAGTTTTTAGCAAGTGTTATTATTGTTTTAGAAAACTAACAATGGCGTCGTATGTAGCTCGGATTTTAAGGAAGAAGATTTTGCAAACAATTTAATGAGATCATTGCTACAAAATAAAAATATTAACAGCTTGATGAAAAAAACAGCCGTCTCTAGTCTTCTGCTAGGAAATAAACTAAAAAAAATGCTGTTTCTCTTAGAAAATCTAAATATATCCGTAAAAAACTTATAGCACAGACTCAGATTGAGTTCGATAAACAAATATTGTCTCCATTGAAGGAAATGTCTAATGCAAAGCCTGTTCATTTAATAGATGAACCAATGGATACAGAGAAATTTGTCAATCAAATCTTAACTGAAGAAATAGGTATTCAGTGTGAGCTAGGTGAAGAAGTGTATCACAAGTATTTGTGATACACTTCGTGAATGATTCTGATAGTACATCAATTCATTCTTCGGAGTTAACTTTTCCTAGCAATGACCGAGACAGTGACAGTGACACTGAGAAGCAAAGTATCAGTGAAACCAGTGAAAAAGAACGAAGATGACTGCATAAACGACTGTAGAAGTGATGAAGAAATTATGGAGAGCAGTGACATAAAATAATTTTCAACTAAATTTGAGTATGTGTTGGTGCAAACTAAAGCTCATATGACTCTTTTCACATTTTGTGCTATCTGTAAGTCCCCATTAAACGGTTTACAAGAGGCGTTGTATTACATATAAAGTATAAATGCCGTAGTGGACATTGTCAGAAATGGTCCTCCTTTGAAAACCTAGAAAAATGTTAAGTTTTTTTATCTGGGGCAATTTTGCTTAACGGTTTGAACTTTCTTCCAGTCTTCAACTTTGCAAAAACATTGAAACTATTATTTATATCTAGCAAGACGTACTATAAAACCGTAAGAACCAAAGTTTGACCTGTAATTAACAAGTTTTGGTTGGAATATAAAAACTCTCTCTACCAAGAGGCAAATACTGAAGAGTATGATTCTCCTGGGGTTTTCCACAAAATATGTTACATGAAAATTGTTAAGCGAGTGAAACCGGGCTATAACCAACCATTTATGGTGGTCTTCAGAAACTTGCAAAGGAAACTCAGAAGTTGTTGTTGAACTTTTGAAACATGTTTGTAATATTCACGAATGGACGGATGAAAATGGGAAGAAAAAAAGCTGTGAGCACCGGCCAATACTGGAGAAGGAAGCTCAGGAAATAAAATGGATTCGCTTCGGTTCTACCGATTATTAAATACTGCAAACAGAAATTATGGATAAAATGTTTTTAAATGATTTAATGTTTTAAATCATGTATGTTTACAAAAAATTACTGTCACACGAGCAGCTTGGAAAGCTACCATAATATTCGTCTAAAGTATGTACCCACAAGAGTTTATTTTTTTTTAGAATGGTATGTACATACGTTCAATTCTTGCCATACTGGATCATAATTTCAATGTTGGAAGAGAGGTTGTTGTTGGGGATGTACAGTTTTCAAAATCGTCAAAGAGATGGCATTTTAAAAATAAATACAAAAAAAAAACTTATTTCTGGAAAGCTGATCTTCTACAGAAAATGCTGAACTATGACTCCAAAACTGGCAACTTACCCAAAGTTACATTTAAAGAACCCAAAAACATTTACAAAGTGGAAAAACCCAGTTTCAGTGCAGCGGAAGATGAACATGTTTCGAGGTTTACTACAAAAAGAAAATGAAAAATATAATTTCAATCATAATTTATAATTTGTTGTAATTAGCAGTTGTTTATATTTTATAACTCAAATTAAAGTCTATAAAATGTCTTCAAATTCCTTGAATCCTGTTTCTTCTGGAAATCTTTGTCCTACTTGTCTTACTACACACGCTGGTATAACAATCCTGTTATTTCTTCCAATTGTGGTCCAGCTATTTATCCACGAAATAAAGTTTTTGTATGCCAAATGGCGCCAAAGTTTGTTGGTTACAATTTTGTATCTGTCTTTTGATATTTTAGATTTACACTGTGATACCAAATTATGCCTTACGATGTTAAGTGAATCTATATTCAAAACAATGTTCTCAAAACTATCGTGAAATGTGATGCAGCAATTTTCATTTGTTACAATTACAATGTTGTCGTTTCCTAAGCAACAAACACATTCATTTTCTGTGGGCATAATGACACAATTTGAACACTTACAACACCAATTCAATGAAAGCAATCGCTCTCCTCTTTCTGGATCAAATTTATTTTTCTCCTTCGTCAGCTTTTCCAGATCTTCTTTACTATATTAAGGTTCAAAACCAAAAGCCATTCTATACAAATCGTATTTATTCTTGAAAACTATTAACACACTTTGGGAATAACAACGTATGTACACGTTTAATATCACGTCGATTCATGAACAGAGGGGTGCGATTTTTGAAACCATTCGAGTACAATTCGTACACGAAATTTGACTGACAGCAATGTAAATTAAATGGGGAGCATTCGAAATCGTATCAAATTTCGTTTGCGAAAATATTCGAAAATACGACCCCAGACACGTAAAATGCATCACTCGCGTGGACGCGTCAACCCACGACGCTGTTGTGACGTCACAGCTCATGCGTTCCGTAACTTCAAACCTCGTTATCTCAAAAACGGTTCATCATAGGAAGGTGCAGTTTGTTCTTAGAATTTCTTAGTACTAAAACTTTGATTTTTGGGCCACACCCCCTTTAAGGGTTGTCTGTATTATTTTAAATCCTAGGGGGTTGAGACTTTGTATTTGACGGGTCATCCTGGAGGACCACCAGACTGTGCACAATTTCCAAAACTTAGGGATGGTTTGGGAATCATTATGGTTTTTATAACACCGCCCTCTTCCTTTGAGCTATTTGCCACAGCTATTCCTGATCATATGCAACTCGGTATGTGATTAGGCTTTGGTTTAGCTCGCGGCGAAGCTTGAATCATATACACTAAGTCGTTGATCTTCCTGAAAAACAAATATGGTGCTTCCATGGTCTTTGAAATTTCGAGTATGGACCTCCCTCCGCTGTGGCTGATTCAACCATTCAACCCTTTATTTTGGGTGTTCAATGAGTGCCGTTGGTCCAGTCTCATCTTCATTCTAGCACTGTTCAGATGTAATCTATTTTTAGCAAAATCGTGAACCACTCTGAGTCAGTCCTGGAGATAAGTCACCTAAACTAATAGTACAAGTTCGTCTTCATTAGCTGGTGTTCTGCCAAACATTAGATCTACGGAAAGCCTCATTTTTATTCCAGTCAACAGATGGTGTACAGCCGGGGAATTCATGCTGATATATTCTATTAACCAAAAGCAGAAGAAGGTCATTAGGAACCAGCTCTTATAAGACGTTCTCGCTATTTTCTACGATTTCGTTGGTTACGGATAATTACAACTGAACCAGGTCTATAGTATTCGGGGCAGGCTGGTATAAGATTTTTATTTTATCCGTGTTAAGTTCTAGACTGAATAAATGAGTAGTTTGGCGGTCTTCCTCTGTGTTGACTAGTACAGCGCATCACTATCAGTTCTGTAAGAGATTTCAATATCCAACGTCCCAACGGCAGGTTCCCTTGAATTATAAATTATAGAGAATGCACTTGGCTTAATGACACCTTACTTAATTCCGCGGTTATAATCTTGCGTTGTTGGTGAGAACAGTGGCCTTTATGTTGTCATGCAGTAAACGAAGCGTGTCGATTAATTTGTGCGCACGTAATGCAGGTATTCTGCAAAGAGCTACTCGATCAATAGAGTCGAACGCTTTTTGCTCTTCCAGTTGTTCTTGTATTTGTTTTGCACCGATGATCATATTGACCGTATTTGGCTTTGTTTAAGGCCACCCTGATTGTCATATGAAGAGAATCCTGACAATAATTTTTCTGGCCGTAGAATGCAGTGATATTCCTCGGTAATTTCCACACCGAATTTAATTGACAGCAGTAGGTATCCCTCTACCGTTTGATCCAAACTGGTGGAGGGATAACTCCAACTGGAAATTTTTAATCCTGCAGTTCTTTATTTTTTTTCTAATAGCCTCGCATTCCAATCCCTTGTCAGCATTTTGTCATTTTTAATAACAGTATTAGCACCAGTTCCGGTATCTTTGGCTTTTATGGAGGCTGTAGAAACCATGACGGTGCTTACTAATGATGGTAGAATAACATTTCTTGCTGTTGAATGCCCATCGTAGATACCAGTCGCCAGTCGTAGATTGGGGACTGGTGGATCAGTGGTCACCAGCGTTCACCTCCGTATACTGGCGAGGTGGCATTTTCCCGGTGTTTGGATCCACTAGCCTCGTTCTCCTTGCGGTCTTCTGAACGTCGGCATAGTTTACGGTTTCTACTTCTTTCTTGGCCGCAGTTGTAGCACTGTATCGAATTTTTCCAGCAGTATTTCTCGGTGCCGTCTGCTTCTGGTCGAGTTAAAGCACAATATTGATTTTGTAGATCTATATAGCGGTCTCCCTTCTCGCAGTATTATTTTTTTGTATGGTGATCTTCTAAACGGAAATTTCGGCTAGAATTCCTACTAATGTGCACTTGATCAGTTTTGTGGTTCTTAAATCCGGGTTTTTGTTCAGGCAGTATTTTTCCAGTATCACCTCTCACCTTTGACGAATATCCGGCTCTGAATGGTCAAGCTTTCTTTCGATATCCTTATTTTGCTTTTTCTATTTGAAGAGGCATTTCTGACAAGTTTATATTCGAGTGTATGGACAACGGTTGCGGCTATGGTGTTTTCACTATTCATTCTTAGCTCTTGCTGCACATTTATATCTCTTGTTCCATCGATAGAGTACTGGACATTTATTTGTTGTTAGTCCTCGGGTGCTTGTTGATATGCTACCCGGATCATTCTCTTTATGCTACAACTAATTCAGTGCAGCGTCCACGTATGATAAGTCTCCGATTCTGCTTTTCAACTAGCTCTGAAACAGTTCACCAAGATATCTATTTTCGTACTTCTAAGGCACAACAGCTGCATTTGCTTACTCCAGAATATTCTGAAAAATGCCGAGCGCCTTTCCTTCCGAGGTAGTACCAATGCTGTTTATTCCATGTACCTATATACATGTACAAGTAGCGGCCTCAAACTCTTGTTTATTCATGGACCAGGATATTTCGCTGTCGAAAGTTGGTCATTTGAGTTGGCAGGAGATCATCGGAACCATTTTGCTGTCGCTTCTGTTATTGGGTTGGGTCCATCTTTTCTGCGGTTCTCTATATTTCATCTCGAATTTTTTGTGGGCTTGGCTCATCTCGCTTTTCACCATTTCTAATTCGCATTTGACTTCTTCCCGGACAAATCTTTTTTCGTCCTAAATTTACTCTTCTACAGTTTCAATTTATTGTTGAATACTTTGGAAGAATTGGGTACCCTTGCCAATATATTTATGTGTGAGCCGCTACACTTCTTGTTGTTGCAAAATGGCCTGGAGCCGGCGCTGTTCTTCTTTAAGCTATCTTCTTATTTTTTCAAACATTCTGGAGTTGGTCCTGCTCCAGTAGTCGCTTTTCTTTTTGTTCTTGCGAAATTTTCAATTAAGGGGGCACCTGATTTATTGACAATAGAATAAAAAAAATCTTCACTCATTCATCTCACTTATGTATGCGGGTTCGTAGATAAGTAAGGCTAGATACTCTTCCAAACCCAATTAATTTTTTTTTTTAAACAATAACACAAAAATCATGACAAAACTAGCACTACGATATCACTTCCAATCACTCAAATTAGGCTTAATTGATCACGAAACCATATCACTATAACTCATCAACTTACTAATTCACGACTTGTCCAATCCATAACTAAGTTTAATTTTTACATCACAAATTTTCCAATAAAGATAATGGAAAATTGATCAATTTCGTGATCATGGACTAAAATTTGATTATGATTGTAAAAACTAAATGTCTGGCCTTATCCTAGCTAACACAATTTTTTTTTACTGAGAATAAGTTTTTGATATAAGAGCCATTGCAATGGAAAGCGTCACAGCCAAAGGCTTTTTTTTTAAATTTATTCCTGACTAATAAAACTAGACAGAGTACCTCACGTTTAAAATAATCTTGTTGTATTGACAACATGTTTACAGGAAAGGGAATGTTCAGAGGCGGGTCATGACAGGGACGAATCGTCTAAGTCCCTCCTACCCGAGCACATGATTGGAAGATAAAAATAATGAAATAATTAAAATTCCAATTAGTCTTATATTATGTTGGTCCTTGTTTAACGTTTAATAATCATCATCACGAGAGAAGATAATCTGGAAAATACCGAATTACTAGAACAGGCAGAGTTTAGACTGTCGAATGTAATTAAAGAGTACGAACTTATACCTGTTCATATTATTAGTAGAACCTTGGTAGACAAAAAATACCCACAAAATTTCCCCTTATTGAAATGTGAAAGTGCAAAAACCCTGAAACACGTCATTATTTGTTCATGCTCAGTAGCTGTACAGGGTGATCTATTATAAATGTCACCCCGTCCCAACTTTTTCATTTGACGTTTTTGACAGAATAAAAAAAAAAACGTGGAAATGCCTTCCAAGGTCTCATGTTGAAGAAAGAAAAATTATAGGTACCATTTAAGCTATAGAGAGAATTATTCAATGTTAACAGTTTATTGTTCAAATGTTACCTATTCATTAATTTCTAGGTGAAATATTCTAATAAATACAGATATTTTAAGTTAGTGGTATTTAAAAAAAAAAAAACGTTTAATATTAACCTGCAAACTATCACGTAATTTTTAACTGTTATATTCGGGTAGATGCTGGAAACCACCACCATCCATTTCCACACATGGTCTATAACCATCTATTAATTTATTTATAGCTTTTGTAATCCAATCGGCACGGTTAGGTAGGTACTATTTATATTATAATCGCTCCCCTAATTTCTTCTTTAATTATCTCACGTGTGTCATGTCGTCTGGAATATATTCTACTTTGCAAATATCCCCATAAAAAAGTATCTAATACAGTGAGGGGCCCAATTCTTGAAAAATATCGCATACGAAATTTTATATGAATTCGAACGCTATCCATTTGATTTACATTGCTGTCAGTCAAATTCGAATCAAGAATTTAGCCACTCTAGGGCCTATTTCATATAAATGTAGAGTTGAGGAGTGAGGAGCGACTTAATGTTACAT